ACTAATTAATAATTGACGGCAAAATATAATATAGTTAATATATATATATTATATAATATATATATAATATATAATATTATAGTATATATAACTTTTTTAAAGAAATTTTTTCCACAAAATTTTATTTTTTATTAATTTATTTTTGGATTATGTTATATATAACTTTTTTTAAAAGAAATTTTTCCACAAAAATTTATTTTTTTATTAATTTATTTTGATTGTGGCCCCCCTTAACATGCCCTATGTTTGTCCATGCTTCCTAACAAGGTTGAACAGTTTTTCTCATGATCTCTCTAGATTAATCATTCTAATCCGAAAGTGGGGAACGCATGTCTTGTTTGGTGCCATTTTTGTATCTATAAGATAGAATCTTGGTCGTTGATTGAGGTGTCTCAAAATGCCTCTAGGAAAGTATCAAAAAAATTTTAAATATAAACCCAGTTGCACTAACAAGTGAGTGTTTGTAGTCCAACACTTAGAAAATTATTTTCCGAAGAATAGTCTCTGCTTTTGTTTCTTCTAATTGAGGTCTCAAACTTACAATTTTTTTAGAATATTTTTTGTTACATATAAAAATTTTATTGAATATAATATATTAAAATTTCATTAAAAATTTCAAATCAATATAAATAATACACGAAAGATATGACCCTCTTTTGAAGACTAAACATGGAACAAAATCTATTATAACTAAAATAATTATTGTTCGCTGATCTAATAAGAAATCCTAATGAAAATTAAAAGGTAAACTTGAAAAAACTATTAGATTTTCAAAAGTGGTTGGTTAGACAAACTCGTTGAATATTTTATACATGGTCTAATTATCCATGAACTAGTCGTTTATGACAAACACAGACCATCTGAATTACTAAATTCAAAAGAGGAACATGCTACATTACCATGCTCCAAAAAACAAAGATCATCATGTAGTTAAAAAATTTTCCACAAATTGCACATGTATCCAAATAAAACCAAACAAATGCCAAAAAAAAAAAAAAAAAAAAAAAAAAAAATGCCAAAAAAAAAAATAAAAAAAAAAAAAAATATCTCGACATTAAAATGAGAAATCATTTAAACTCCACACAAGATGAAAAAAAAAAAAAAAAAAAAAAAAAAATACTCGACATAAAATGGAGAAATCATAAACTCCACACAAGATGGAGATTAATCACAAAAAATAGCAGAAACATAAATAACATAGATATATGCCAAATAGATATAGATCTGTAGTTTATTTAACAAAAAATATAAATATTTACAATAAAACTAAAAGTGTAAGAACGGGCTGTCACAAGAGACAAGAATCAACCCCTCCCTATATCTACATGTTTAATTTTTATTCAGAAATTGCTATTGATTATCAGGTGTCCTCCAATGGGATGAGATACAAATATTTATAGTAGCTTTCTTATTCTAATCAAAGGAATAAATGCCAAGTAAGAATTTTGGTCATAAATAATGAGCGAGAATCTTGGGGATTAATTACATGATTAATTGATTCTCGGATCGAGCATTACTCAAATGGGTCTAAATAGAGGAAACCTCGGTCAATTCTTATTAATTGTTCCTATCAAACATCCTCCCAAAATATACTGAATCATTTATGTTCGACCAAAATTTTATCTTGACTTTTCATTTCCTGTTTTTATTCTCCTTAGAATCGATCTCCTTCGTTTGTTTTGGGTTGAGCGCTTGTAGAGTTTCCACGTATGCCCTAATTATCAGTTGCTTTAAAAGTTATACACCTTCTTAGTTTCAGCTATCAATTCAGGCTCTCTCTTTAATGGATGTGACTTTTAAAGCTATCAGTGTGCTTTGAACGACGCATCATGTTATTTCCTTTATTAAGGTGTGTCCTTTGGCTTTCCAACTTCTTCTTGGCATCTCCTTAGTTTCTTCAGCGATTTGTATAAATTTAAAGTTTTGGGATCTCCTTCAAACATTTGTCACTTTCACTGCTACCTTCTCTATCATAATTTCTCTGCAACTACTTGCAAAGAGATAAAAATTCTTTGTCTTTGCTTTTACTAATCAGTTCTTCCATCCCCTGCGACAAAAAAAAAGGCCATTGCCATTGATAATTGATAAGGAGATAAAACCAATGAATCTTAGTTCTGCCACCCAATGAATCTAGTCCAAATTTAATTGATAAGGAGATAAAACCAAACATATATCACCAAAGTCAGCTTAATGTTCTAAAAGCAGACCTTCATTAGGGGAGAAATAAATTAAACATATTCTTTGTGTAATGGACATTCAAAGGGACCTTTAATTGGCCGAAATAATACTGCGGGCTATACAACAGGGGTAGCCCTCTCCTTGCTTCACTAAATTGGCAAAAACAACTGTGGTTGAGAGGATTCAAACTCAAGAACTTCCACTCCTCATATAAGCGAGAAGACCAACCAGACGACTTGATTGGCAATAAGTTATATCCTTTGAAATGTAAGGTTATGTCTTTTAGGATAAACGGTTATATCCTTTGGTGTGTAAGGTTTTGTTCTTTAGATTGTAATCATATCCTATGAATAGTTCCTTAATACTATGGATTGAGTAATTAAAGAGGTGTATTAGATTAGGATTGTGTAAGATTTTAAAAGAATTATTGAGTTTGATGGAATTGAAGAATTTCTTAAGATTCCCACAGATTCTACTAGAATTCCACATCGAGTTTTATGGAATTGGTGAAACTTTTTTTATAGATTTTGATTGACTTTGTTTAAAAGAATTATTGAGTTTGATGGAAATGGAAGAATTTCTTAAGATTCCACAGACTATCTAGCTAGAATTCCCACACTCGCAAGCTTTTATGGAATTGGGTGTTGAAACTTTTTTTATAGATTTCTGATTGACTTGATGGAATTACAGTGGGATTTTTTATATATCTTAATTAATATTAATTTCAATTGGCCTAATTGAATTAACATTTTAAAAGGGTTTTGGCAGCTAAATGAAAAAACTGAAAAATAATAAGGGACAAAAAAAGTAAGTTTTTGCATTATCTTTTCTCGAAAATCATTTTTCTTTCTTATTAAAATTCTTACGGCTGCCGACAGATTTTAGAAATTGCCTGTAATGGCTAGCTTTTCGAGCCCAGCAGCCATCTTTTAGTTGCTACCAGAAACAGTTTAATGATTGTGGTCAGAATGGACCCAACAGGTCTTCTCTGTCTCCTTGATTGAACGACGACCGTTTCTCGCTCGGGAAAATCACAGGCTTTATATATATTAATATATAGTATAATATATATAAGTTATATATATATATATAATATATTATATATATATATTTAATTTAAAATTAAAAACCAACCGACCTGCTTAGCCTAGGACCTGTTGACAATTGCCAGAGCTTACGCCAAGGGAGGTTGCTTTTATGATTAATTACCGATAGCACGCACTCCGTCGCTTGCGGCTCACAGAGCCTAGTGGGTCTGGCTACAATAAATACAGAATTGTATTCTTTTCAACTATCTTTACTTATTTCAAAGATATTTTTTTTCAAATTTTTTTATTTGATTAAAATCATTATAATCGATATCAACACATAAAAATTTTGCAAAAAAGTAATCCAGATTAATTTTGAAAATTTTATGTAGCATATATTAATTTAAAATTAAAAACCAACCGCCTGCTAGCCAGGACCTGTGACAATTGCCAGAGCTTACGCAAGGAGGTTGTTTTATATTAATACCGATGCACGACTCGTCGCTTGCGGCTCACAGAGCCTAGTGGTCTGGCTACAATAATAGCAGATTGTATTCTTCAATTCTTTGACTATTTCAAAGATTTTTTCAAATTTTTTATTTGATTAAATCATTATAATCGATATCAACACATAAAAATTTTGAAAAGTAATCCAATTAATTTTGAAAATTTGTAGCACTATTAATATTAATTTTTGTCAAACTATCAAATCCTCAGCGCATGAATTAATTCGAAACTAATCCAATAATTAATATATTGTTTTACATCTTAAGGGTTAGGGATAAAAGTAGTACAAGTATTTTAGGGATAAAAGTAATACAAGTATTTCAGGGTACTTACTCTGCTCCAATCCGTTTAAAGAGGATATGGATAGTTATAAAAGGGTTTAGAACGGATATGGATAGTGAAATTACTACCCGTAGCGGATATAGACAGTGAAATTACTACAGGTAAGGTACGTGTATTACCAGTAATGGATACAGGTAGGGTAAGTGTATAGATATTTAGATAATCGCTACCCGTTAACCGCTATATTAAACAGGTTCGGTAGTGGCCTTTCTATTATTAGTAAAAAAATGTATTTTAAATAAATTTGAATTTGAATAGTTTAACATTTCATGGTATCCTACCCGTTTAAGAGATACTTTAAACGAGTTTTGGATAGATACCGATAGTAAAATTTAAATAGATTCGAATACAAGTAGTTAAAAGATTATTTAAATGGATATAAAATGGATACGTTTAAAATTCGCGGGTACGTGCTCCACTTCCATCCTTATTAAGTGGTGTATTCGATTAAGATCTATTAGATTTTAAAATATTTTTAAAATTTTTGGGTTGGAGGATAGATTTGCGAATCACTCTTTTATTTTATTCATACTTAGCATCTTAAAATCCAGCAAAATCAATAATTTTATAAAACCCTTCCAAATTAGTAAATTTTTTGAATACTATCAAATTTCTATGTACTTTTAAAAATCATAATTAAATACCATCAGATTTTTATAAATTTTATAAGAGTCTGAATTGAATACTACAAGTTTTAATATACTCTAAAAAAAAACATAGATTGAATATCAATAGAATTTTAAAATCTTTAAAAATCTAATAAATTCTTAATCCAATACACTATTCTATGATTCTAATAAAAGAAATCAATTTCTCTATACGCTCTCTTACTCCGTTGCTCTATCTTATTCTATATATTCCATTTTTTGTATATACTCTTTATTTATCATATTTCATAACACAATTTATGTATTTTTCTTTAAACTTGTGTAAGAATCAAACACCATTCTTCTACTTAAATCTAGGTTTCACCATCTTAAAATAATTAAACTAACCTTTTGGTAATTTGCTTTGCCAATATCGAAGCCCATACATTTACGTTTGCGAACTCTTTAGAGCTTCCGGAACGGGAGTGCAGACAAAGCGGGAAGGATAGACAGGGCAAAGAAAGAAAGAAAGAAAATGGGAAGGGGCAGTGGAAATGATCAATTAGAGCTTCATGCAGCGGCAAGGTCCGGTGACTTGAATGCAGTTCAGTCAATTCTCAGTTCAAACCTCTTGGCCATTAACTCTAGAGATAAGCACTCTAGAACTCCGTATCCTCATCCGTTTCTTTATTACAGTTGTTTTAGCTCCTCAATAGTTTTTAACTTTAATCGGTTTCTCTCAATATTTATTTATAATCTTTCGTTTCTTGTTGTTTCGCTTGCAATTGTGATAGGATTGTAGTTGGGCTTTGAATTGGTTGCGCTTCAAATTGGGAATTCATGATTTTTGGATTGTGTTTGTTCTTCCTTGAATTTGAATTGTGGTTTGAATTTGTTTGTGTTGCAAATGAAATTAAAACACTTCTAAAAACAATAGTTTATACTAGTCTTGACAGTGCTGTATTACCTTTGTCAACCTAATATGTACAATAGATGCCCAAACACCCACATATGCTTCTATATTCATGCTAAAGAAATGAATTCCTTTCTTAAGCCGTTACCTTCTGGTTTAGTTAAACTTTAGAGGGCAGACTGTGCTCTCAATGCTTCAAGCCCAGGCGCATTTTGGCATTAGGATGATGTTAAAGATACAAAACCTGTTTCGGGCTCTCAAAAACTTGTGTGTTTAGTTTGACTGTTTTTATATGGTGGTGGAGAATCTTTAGTCAAAATTTTCGGAGTTCGCATCCCAGGTTATGTATTTATTAATCACATTTTATCGTAAAAAAGAATTGTCCTTTTATTTGTTCCTGTAAGGAGGTTAGCTAAGGATGTAAAATTCATCCTTATATCCTTTTCTACAAATTTGAACTTAGGTTGATCCATTCTCTAACAATTCCATATCTATCATATGAGACTGTTTGTTCTTCAATTCTCCTCTAGAATTTTCTTATTAACTAAGCAGTATCTCTTGGTTGAGAAATGTTACTAATATGTGCTCCAACACTAGTGGGATATAGGACTTGCTCCTATCAAGAAGGCTTCAAGCTTTCTAGGGTTGAATTTCATCACAACTCAAAATAAAAACAGATATTGCTGAAATTTTATTGACTGAAATGTTCTTTGAAATACCTTACAATCATACTAGCTTAGCATACATAGACTTAAATCTACCTTTACTTGAAAGCTAGTCATCATAAGGAATAACGTTATCCTAAGCCAACAAGGATTCTATAATAAGACTTGGAGTAAATATTAATACTCTTACAGTCTCTTTTGACGGATCATAATTTGGAATGATTGCAGACTTGGATTTCAGTTTCAAGTGTGTAAAATCATCAAAGATAGTCGTGGTGCCAAATTCTGGATGTTCAGTAATTTCAAATGATGTTTCCATAGAAGCATACAACAAAAACAATTAAAACCATTACTACTAATCCTTAATCCAAAATAGTTGGATTGGCTATATAAATCATTTGTTTCCATTCCACTTTATTCATAACCAAGTCTGCACAAATGTCAAGAAGTTGTAGATCTTTGAGACAACTTTCCTCCATGCAGTTTTATGTCTACCTCTTTCCATGTAACATCCTCTGAGATCAATGTATTGCACTTATGAGCTGGAGTGCATGGGGGTCTTTGAAGGACGTGACCAAACTATCTTGGACGTACTTCTCTCATTTTGTCCCCAACTTGTGCTATTTGCACCTTTTAAGTGAACAGTTGCTGCTTCAGTACTTTTAAGTCTCAAGGCAATTTTATAAATACAAGCATTACAAAATTGCCTTGAGACTAAAAATATTGAAGCAACAACTTATTCATTTAATAGACATATGAACATGATGATAAAAGAACTAGAAAAATATGCTATCAAAACAAACCATCTCAGATGTACTGCTCTCATTTTATCCCTAACTTGTGCTATTTGCACCTTTTAAGTGAATAGTTGCTGCTTCACTACTTTTAAGTCTCAAGGCAATTTTGTAAATACATGCATTAAAAATTTCCTTGAGACTTAAAATACTGAAGCAACAACTATTCATTTACTAGACATATGAACATGATGCTAAAAGAACTAGAAAAATATGCTATCAAAACAAACTTTTGTGTTTGAATTTAAATTCTTTTTCTTCCTTTTCTTTTCTTTATTTTTTTTTTCTTTCAAATTTTGTTAGCCACATCACATTATACAAAAGTAACAATGTGTAGTGAGGTTTCATGTGAAACATTGTCTTTTAAATTGACTTCAGATTCACTACAATATTTATGTAGGACAGCTTGATTGACTGGAACTTAAAAAGTATTTGCTTTAGTAAAAAAGTGTTTGTGTCAGAAAATTAGCAATTAAGTTAGTGGTTGAATTTGGATAGGAATAGATTGAAATGGGTGTTCCATATCATCAATAATTTACTGGACTGCATATCTGGTTGCTGTCAAAAAGTAGAATGAAAATGAAATATTCTAAGGATTAAATTTATATTTTGAAGTCCTTGGACATCTAACCCAAGATTGTTTGTGGGTATCACAAAATCCAAAAGAGCATTTGATGCGTCCCACATCGGCCGCGGAGTACATCCTGGGATAGTATATAAGGCTGGGTTCAGTCCTTCCTCTACGAGCTAGTTTTTGGAGTGAAGTTAGGGATCCAGTCCCTTATCATTTGGTATCAGAACTTTGGCTCCGTAGGGTCGGTGTCTCATGGGGTTCGTCAGAACGCCGACTGAGGCAGTCGGGTCTTATGGGGGTGGGGATGATGCGTCCCACATCGCCATATGTTTGTGGTGGTAATTCACAAAATCCACAAAGGAGCATGATGCACCGATCCCACATCGGCCGCGGAGCCAGTACATCCCTGGATAGTTATATTAGGCTGGGATTCAGTTCCTTCCTCTACGAGCTAGCTTTTTAGGATGAAGTTTAGGGAATCCAGTCCACTTTATCATTGGTATCAGAACTTTGGCTCCGTAGGGTCGCCGTGTTCTCATGGGGTTCACGTCAGACGCCGACTGAGGGCAAGGTCGGGTTCTCTATGGGGGGCGCGGCGGGCGCGCCGCGGGCGCGGGCGCGGCTCCGCTGGGGATGATTGTCGTCCCACATCTGCCCGCAGAGTCATGGGGTTCGTCAGAACGCCGACTGAGGCAGTCGGGTCTTATGGGGGTGGGGATGATGCGTCCCACATCGCCCGCAGAGTACATTCTGGGCTAGTATATAAGGTTGGGTTCGGTCCTTCCTCTACGAGCTAACTTTTGGGGCGAAGTTAGGGGTCCAGTCCCTTATCAGCATTGCTTGAAAATTTTTGATCAGTTTAATTCTAATAATATATTACAAATCATGGGTGTTTTTGTGCACTCAAATCTATGGGAGAAGCCTAATTCTCATGAAATATTGAATAGAGAACTAAAGACACTAAATAACTCAAGAATTATAACTGATGCCTCAACTGTAGAGACTTGCATAAAACTCAAGATGCCACTACTCATCCGATTCCAGTTAATCACAAAACTACTATAATATGCCGCAGTTTTAAAATAGATGATGAAATAATTCACTCAAAGGTAATTGACTCAAGTAAGCATAAAGATAAGACCTTTAAGGACTAAAAAGTATCTGAGAATGTCCAAAATAAACACCAATTCTAAATTTCTCATATGTAGACTTGTGTACCATGAGTTCTAGGCTGTCTGCATTGCTGGTGCTTTGAGTTATAGGGTTTGGAAGTCCCATCTTCACATGCTTGAGTAATAGTTACCCTTGTAGTTGCTGTTTAGGGCTCCTTCGGGTTCTTTACTCTTCTGATATTCTGTTATAACTTTTCTGTTGCTTTATTGGTCAATCTAGTTGCTGCTTTTGTTCTAACTCTTTATCTTTACATCATCCAGTCTACCTCTAGCTCCTTAGTTGTTTTAAATTTGTGCAATTAATTAATTGAGGAAAAGGGGGAGAAAACATCAAATGTGAATGTACTTAGATGATCCACTTGTACCTTCAGAGTATGCATGTCAGCTTTTAATTTATAAAACTCATTCAATCAATCATTCTCTGTCGTTCAAGAGGATTATATAATTTGACTTGTAGGATTCTTCATGCTAATACCAAATCAATATAAGATAGCTTGCAAATTATAATTCAATTTCTGCATTCTGTTCATTTTAAAGCTGGAAATGATGGAAAGTTATACGGATAACCAGGTTTGTAAAAGAGCTGTGATTAGGATCTAAAACAAAATACAAATTGGCTATTCAGAGTGCAGATTTAGCACTACTTTAAGGGAAATATTGGATTCTTTGACACCAATAGGGAAGTGAAAATTAGGGTTTTATTGGAAACTTAGTATGATTTATTTGTGAAAGGAAGTCTTCTACCATATAAAAGGAGAATTTCACGTATGAATTGCCTGGTGATTTTGAGTAATGCCATAAAATTCTATGCTTCACAGATCGAATTTCTAAGATTGAATTTTATTGCACGACTGGCAAGTTGCCGCAAATTTCTCAAATTTTTTTTCATAAGAATGTTACAGTTTTGACTCAATATAACACTAAACCTTCTGGACCTTCTAATGCTTATGGAACTTAGACTTCCAAATCGGAAACATAAATTTTACTGTTTGACTGAGAAACATACATATTGGAAACTACTCAGAAACTTAAAACTGAAAATAGAATATTTTTCTGATGCTTATTTTCTTGTTCCAGTAACTTTGAGAATAATATAAATATCCATGAAACATTTTGAGTATTTTGTGGATGTATCATCTTTTCTTTTTTAAAAGAAAAGAAATGTATTACCTTTATATTGTAATTTGTTTGCATTATTTTCCATTTGGGCAGAGAGTCATTTGAAGTTAATGTGGTTTTGATTTGAGTTTTCATTGTAAAATCATAAAACTCAGCATAGTGCCGAATTCTAAATACTCATCCATTTCAAATGACAAGCTATCTAAATGGAACAAAAAGAAGGATTGTCTTCTATTTCTGAGGCACTCAATGCCATTGACTGTTCTATTTATTTATAGCCAGCTTGATTTCTCTCTTCTATTATCTTCTGGCGACAAAATTTCACATTGTTCCATGATGAATAGGATGATAAGAAACATTTTCTACACATTAATACAGTGAAATAAAATATAAGATTGATCAAAGAGAAGTTAATATATTTAATTAATGTAGATCTGTCTTGTGAGTTCACCCCTATTTGTATTTGAGATTTTATATTGGTGTTCAGAAGGAAGCTTCTGATGACTATCGTTTGTTCCATTTTTATTTTGGGTGCATGCCAATTGAAGCTTTTTGCGATCCATGCTAATTTCCTAGTCAAGTGTTTAACCAAATCTGATTTGTCTGATTATTCTCTTTATTTTTGTTCTTTACAATTTATGGTTTAATTATCAGGTTTCTTTAGTTTCATGGCAATCTTTACTGTGAAACTTGTAATGTGCTGAGCTATCTCAATGTTATTTCCTTGACAAAAATAACCTTGTTCCATAGATTGCATTTAGCAGCATGGTCTGGACATGCACATGTGGTGAGTTACCTCTGCAAGCAGAAAGCTGATGTTGGTGCGGCTGCTATGGATGACATGGGCGCAATCCATTTTGCAGCCCAGAAGGGTCATCTAGAAGTTGTCCGGATTCTGCTTTCATCCGGAGTTTCTGTCAAAACTTCCAACCGAAAGGGCCTAACTCCACTTCACTATGCTGCTCAAGGTTCCAATCTTGAGCTAGTCAAGTACTTGGTAAAGAAAGGTGCAAGCCTTGCTGTTAAGACGAAAGCAGGAAAGACCCCTCTTGATCTTGCAAACAAGGAAGAGATCCGCTTGTTTCTAGAAGAAAGTGAGCACTCATCTAAAAATAGAGATCTGAATCCAAGAGAGGAAGCTGAAGAATCCAATCCAAAGCTATTGTTTCCAGATAAACCAGAGAGTGGTAGCAGTGAAGCTCCTGTTATTAAGGACGAGGGAGAACAGGAGGATGAAAAGGAGAAGAGGAAAGGCAATGAAGGTAAAGAAATTAGCGCGGGGTATTCAGAACATAAAAAGCAAAAAATCACACTTAATCATCTTTTAAGTGAAGATGATACTCAGGAAGATGAAAATTTGTAAACATTTTTTTTTTTTTTTTTTTTTTTTTTTTTTTTTTTTCTTGAATACTTGCAAAACATTAAGGAAAGAGATTCGCCCTTGTTTCTTAGAAGAAAAAGTGGAGCCACTCATAATCTAAAGAATAGAGATCTGAATCCAGAGAGGAAGCTGAAGAATCCCAATCCAAAGCCTATTGTTTCCAAGATAAACCAGACGCAGTGTCAGCAGTGGAAGCTCCTGTTATTAAGAGGAAGAGGGGGAGAACAGGCAGATGAAAAGGCAGAAGAGGAAAGGCAATGAACGGTAAGAAATTAGCGCGCCGGGTATTTCAGAACATAAAAAAGCAAAAAATCACACCCTTAATTCATCTTTTTAAGTGAAATGATACTCAGGAAAGCATGAGGAAATTTAGTTAAACAATTTTTTTTTTTGTTTGTTTTTTTTTTTTGGTTTTTTTTTTGGCACAGAAGGACTTAACCTTAGAACCAAAATGACTCCACAGCTGGTGCTGTTTATCGGTAGCTACGTGTATCCCGGTGCTTGCATGTTGTTCGGTCTTCAGGCTTCTTTAGTTGTATGAGCATAAAAGTAACTTTCCTACATGTTTGTTTCTTGCATATACTGTGGAATGGAGGATGCGATAGTAGGATATATTAGTTTCCTCAGTGGTGTGTTTTCTGTTTCTACACAAGAGAGTTTGAGGCATTACAGTTGTTCAGTGCCTTTTAATTGGTTAGGCACCTCAGATTAACTAAAAACCGGGTCGGTCATACTCATGGATCCCGGGATGATCAGTTTAGATACACTCCTACGGTTATTAACAATACTTAGCGTCGGTGCACTTTCAATTTCGGAGGAGCTCGATTAGTTTTATTGTTTTCCGACAACCACTTCATTGAGCTATAAAAGCTTCTTTTTTAGTTTTAATTTTGATATAAGCAGGGCATGGACTACTTGAGAAGTGAGAACATTCAGATGGTGGATTGAGAAGCAGTGTTGCGGAAAAAGATTGACCATTGCATTTCCAAACGTGGCGAGCTTTGAACTTATTTGTCATTCCATTGACACTAATTTTGCCCTAATGCATGTGATTATCTAGCATCCTGATATGCTCTATTGAACATCGCATTTCAATTTTCACTTGTTTGTATTTTGATTGGTAGTGGCATTGATGTGAGACCATATAGTGAAATGGGTCATAAATTCATTACCTGTGCTTTTCCGTCAAAAATCTCATGCTGTTTTTTAATTTTTAAATCATTTGGATCATTTTGAAATTTATTTTAAAGGATACACACTAGCTACATACTTTAATCTAATATGGTATTGTGGACTATATATAAATTAAAAATCATACAAGATCTCTCTATAATTTTTAAGGTATTAAGAGATATGTATCTGGAGGGTGATAAGTAATGGTAAGGAGTGAAAATTGAGGCGAGAGTAACTACTTTCGATATGCAGTGCGGCGGTGGTATTTAAAGGAATTGTTGTAAAAAATAAAACATTTATAGGGAAACTTAATTAAAGACAAAAAAAAACTTAAAGCAAGGTCATGAGCTTACCTCGAGGCAAAATTAGCGCCCGTTTGTGATACACGTTAGATTTTGTTTCTGATTTTATTTATTAGAAAAGCTCTCTGCTTACAGTTATTTGTTTTTTAGTTTTTTATTTATTAGAAACATTTGAAAGCTGTTGTTTAAGTTTGGGTTACTTATTTCTCAAAACTATATTTCTTTTTTTCCTTAAAATTAATTTTTTTCCTTTCTTTTGAGTTCGACGGTGTGTAAAAATTACTTCTCAGAGGCCTCAAGAGTGTATCAAAATCTTCTCCCTTAGACTAAACCATTATAAATAGATTTTTGGTGGTAATAATACCAAAAAATAAAAATATAAAAATTTAGAGGACAAAAATCACATTGAGAAAAATTTTCACACCTTTTAATTTTTACATTCTCTCTTCAAAGAGTTAAGATTGATTAACGGTATGCATGGTACCCTTATCGTACTGAGCAATCCAATCTGAATAAGAGTGAATTATGAATATCGGATCTCATCTTTATAATTACAATATAATTTAGGAGTTAGTTTACTAAATGACGAGTGTGAGCACTTTACCGGTATGTATAGAGAAAATAATAATAGAAATTAAATTTAATAGTAATACCTAAGATAGTAGGAAAGCAGAGTTGTGAAGAGAATTAACAGAATTGTCTCTAGCAATTTAATAGAGATATTTATAAATTTATACTGGACCATGCTGTATATACTTAGTTTTGTAATAAATAAATGAATTCGAATTTAGAATTATATTGTATTAGAGAATTAATTAATATAATTATAATTAATAATATAAGATAATAATAATATTTAATTATAGTCATAATATCAATGGTGTTGTTAAAGGTCTCAGGAGTTTCATAAAAAATAAAAAATATGGAGAATAATAATAGAAATAATAATCACACAGAAAGCACAATTACATAAAAATTATATATGCGTTGGTGGGGTGGTTGATGCTAAATTTTATTTTCTTTCTTTAAATGAGGAGTAATTATACTAAGAATGGTACAAGATAAGAAAAATTAAACAAACGCCTTTAACAATTAAGTTATTTTATTTATTTTTTTTAAAAGTGAAGAGATAAAATATAATGAATTAATTTTTAGAATTTATGAGAATAGATTATATTCCCTCTCAACTTCCATATCATTACCAATAAAATAAATCGTTATATATCTTAAACAACTAGGCACTACTCAGATGGTCTTATTAGTCTCATTCCGGTAAAATACCGGAATAAATATAAATATAGCTCTAGTATTCCTGTGGTGTTTTATCGAAATTAACTATTCCTACCCTTGTATTTTTTCAAGAATATATATCATGATTTTTTTAACCGTCATGATATTTTAGTTCTGGTGTGCACTCTAAGTATAGTCTCACATATCTCTGTCCATTTAGCATTGGTCTATATAATATATAAACAATGGTCAAGAAAACTCTGAACGAGTCTCAAGTGAGATGAGGAATTGTATTTTTCACCCTATAAAATCATACCCTCTCTTTCTTACTTCCCTTTTCTCTGGCCTCCATATGTTCAACATTTTTCAAGACATCTCTCTCCACCTAGTAATTCTCTGGTCGCTCATCCATAATATATTACCTAGTGTGATTTACTCTCCTCTCTCGACCTCACTTCCATAAATTTAGAACTCTCATTATTATATATCGAGAATAATCAGAATATGTGAAATGTATTTCTCTGATCATTCTGGCTATATATAAAATTAATACATTTCTTTTGTGCCTATGAAGTAATATTGGCAGCCTTATGGTATCATAATGTTCAGAAATTGGTAGAATAGATAGCTCACGAACTAATTTATATATGTGACGAGACAAGTGATTTGGGCAGTGAAAAATCTAATTATGAGATCTCGAGATGTAAAACTGACAAAAGTTCTATAATTGTCTCTCAACTCATTATAGCTAGGACTATGGGGTATAACATGAAGCGCTTTCAAAATGGCCTAATTGTGTGCGACAGACAAATTTGGTTGTGTAATCCACATCTCAAGTCTTTTGGCCCAACACTAAATTAGCCTGTAATAGTATGAATCTTTAGTAACAAATGGAAACTCTCACTCAAATATATACTCTTTTAGACTTTACACTCAGACAATTGCTACTAATTACCTCTAACTTACTCTTTCTCAGTCCATATAAATTGTATCTCTCAATCCAAAATGACTAGAAATGAACATCAAACAACTGCAAGTACGATAAGAAGTGAATGTGACACCCCATATGATCCACTCGTCTAAATAATGAGGCTAATTCACCTAGAACAATCGATTATTAGCTTCTTGTTCTATCTCGATATTGAGGCGTGGATTAAGATAGGTGAATATAGATATTTTTATTGAATTTATCCTCAATGTCAAGAGTCGAGCGAAAATAATAGTGGCAGAGTAAGTTTTTCTCATTCTCTTCTATTTAAGGTCTTCTGGAGGGCTTAACGACCCTATGTGTCAAATGCACTTATCAATTACTTTTGAAATTTAAAATAAGAAAAAGAATAAGAAGAAGAAGAAGAAGAAGAGATTAATATAGTAATAGAAATCATTATTCTTCCTTATTGTTATTGCTGAAATAATAATAAAATTATGATTTTCAATTTAGAGAGAAAATATGAATAAGTTTTTCTCTCTCTAAAAGTTTTGGGGTTTAAGAATTTCTTGATATCAATTTTAATTTGTGATAAAAAATGAAAATAGATGTAAAATTTGAGTTTCCCATAAGATTATGAGATAACTCGATTTTTTGGCCACCACGGGCAACACCACCAATGATATTCTGGCAAGACAAAAAATTGATTTCAGAACAAAACTGATTTTGTCTTTTAGTTAGGGTTATTGAAGGCATTTCATGTCAATTTAATGTCTAAAAGTGCATAAAATGGACAGAAGGACAATTATGTTTAACGGAGTAAAAATATGAGGGTATAGTGGTGTATTTAAAAAAAATACAAGGGTAGAGTACGATTATAATTCTCTTTTAAAATCCATACTTACCCATCTTGAAATGGAATGGGTTTCAACCATACTATTTGAATTGTGTTTTACCCATCTCGATCATTTAGATCGGATTTGGGTGAGTATCTAAAAAGGCATGGGTTATCTTGCCATCCCTAAATATAATATGACTAAGCAAGTTTGAGGTACCATTAAATTTTTATGCACAGTACAGGGATGAGTATACATGTTTGGCACATTTTATATTTTTATTATATAAGGGTATAAGCAAGTGATATGAATTAGAAAGAAAATGAATTAATATGTAAATTTGATCCTGAACCTTCGTCAATTCTTTTTGTGGCCTTTTAAAATCAATCATGATTCTGTACTTTCATATTTCAGTAACAACTATGGTCATCGTCAAAATGAAATAACTTGCATCGATTCAATCACGACTATGCATTTTCACATTTTATTTTAGCGAGGAATATAATTATTTTTCAAATGTAAAAGTATAAGGTAATGATTGGATCCCACAAAATCTAG